ACTGCCACCTTTCCTAGTGGATTTGTTATCGTTGGATACATTGTTGTAGTTGTTGTTGTTGTTGTTGTAGTTGTTGTTGTTGTGCTTATTAGCTGCTGCATTACCACTAGGATTGGTGGATTTGTTGTTGGATTGCTTCTTGTTTGAACGGTGTATCTTTGCAAGGCTTTCCATTTGTTGGGTGACTTTGAGTCTTTCTTTGAGAATGTCAACTACTGACTCGTTAATGAGGGAGACACCTTCCTTCTTGTTGACAGGGAACATGTCAGTCAAGGAAGGATTGATATTCGCTGCTACCTTGCTCAGACGAATCTGATGGATGGTGGCCGAAAGGTGTCCTATTAGACGAATAGTAGCCTGGATCTCTCTGAGCGACTCAAGAGGGATACCCGCCTCTAAAAACCTTTGCACAAAGCCAAATAAAGGACGAAGTGCATCGGCAGCTCTAAGTTGGAGAAGACGCAATGTCTTGTCCTCCTTCTTAACTCCCTCGCTAATGTTAACACCTGCCAGCTTCTCCAGCTTAGGGCAATCTAATTTGAAGGAAGCTGGGAATTCATTGATCAAAAGATCTTTGACTTCTACCTTACTCAAGAGTCCATCCTCTGAGTAATTTTTTATATTTCACACAGGAGCATATACACTCCTGGCTTCTCGATTTATTGCATTTGCATTTTCGATATGTTTTCACTTCGACCCTAGGGCATTTTTGTGGGGAGTGATAGTTGGTGTTGTCTTGTGATTTCGCACTTTCGAATTTGGACTCCAACTTGAGGTCTAGTTCGGGTCAGGGAAGCTTGACTTTCAAAGTAAGTGCTGCAGTTTACCGTCATGCCAAGGACTTTCCTCTGAGTAAAAGGTTTCAGGATAGGGGAGTTGCTCAAAGAATTCATCAAATGGTTCGGAAATAGGAAGGTCTGCAGCGACATGTCCTTCTTCTTCATTATCTGAATCGTCATCTTCGAGTCGCCTAATTGGTTGTGCAGGGACATTAGGCTGTTGTTGAATTAGTGCGGCCAAGGGGTTGGCGGCTTCAACTGGGTTTACAACTGGTTGTTGTACTTGTTGCGCGGCTGGATTTGCAGGTTGATGTGGCTGCGCGTTTGGCTGGACTACTACTTGGACTGGTTGAACTGGCTGAACTTGTTGGATCTGCTGAGGCGTTGGCTGGACTGGCTGGGGTGGCTGGACTTGGTCTTGTTGAACTGGGGGCGGCACTTGTTGAACTGGAGGGACCAGTTGCTCGTTTGGGATCTGTTGAACATGAGCGGCGTCCTTAAGGAGAGGTGGGTCAACCACCTCAAGTACTGGTCTTGCTAGGGGGGAACGGTACTGACCAACATGGATCTCTTCAAGGTCTTGGATAAACGGCCTGTTTTGGTTGAGTGGTGGGAGATCCTCGTACTGGAATTCAGGATGTCTGGTAGGTACAGGTATCCTTCTGGAAGGATGTTGGGGGATTAATGATTTCTTCATTTGATATTCTGATAATTGCTAATGATAATTGATAGAGATAATTAGATTGTTGATATAATTATTTATAGTTATAAAATAGGTGTGTTGAGTATATATAGATTAAAGTTATAATAAGTGAAGTTGACTGTGGATAGGTAGAGTCTATAACTATAAAGGAGGAATTCCCAAACAAAATAAACTGAAGTGAATGGTGCCCAAGTCCCCCTTTATATACTCTACGAACTCTCACCTGGTCTCCCTAAACTAGTCCAACCGTCTTTGCCATCACCAAAAATCCACGGAAAATCATTGATATTTCATGGAAATTTGGATGAAATTTCGGCAAAACCCTGGAGACATACAGGTGAAAAGTTTGGGAAATAAACAAACAAAATACGCTATTCATATAATATTAATTGTCTAAGTTCAAGATAAACTCAGATCACAATCAGCTCCAACTGAACAAATATCGTCCCTCCTCACCAAAGCAACTATCAAACACCTGGACAAATGGAACTCCATAATCGACACTGAATATCTCGCCATGTAAACAACCAACACCAATAAACAAGTAGCCTAGAGTGTATATGCTCTTTGTAATTAAAAAAAAAAAAAACAGAAGTGCGAGTATGTCACTGGAAAGAGGTACAACATTGAGAGACACGAGGAGAAACTTCATCCATTTGGCGGATGTGTGAGAGGTTGCCAGGGATGCAAGAATAGAACGCAGAGGAGAAAAGAAAAGGAAAAGAAGGTTAGTCAGAAGAAACCTTGTCCTCACGAGTCATGTGTTGCCATTGGAGCTTGGTACGAGCGTACCAACTTTTCGAAACATGTCAAGAAGCTCGAACTACATAAGAAATGTACTAATCAATGCAAGGAGTGCAATACCATCAGAGACCTATCGCTGAAGCAAGTTACATCACATGTGGATGTAATGGACATGGCTGGCATCAAAGAGATCTTGTACATACCGGACCACTGTTGGAACATGTTCATCAATGACCTTGCATTTGATCGCAAGAAGTATTCACTTAACAATATCAAGAAGTATCAAGCAGGTATGTATATATATATATCTCTGTTCATATATTTAAATATATCTATCACTGTATCTATATATATCTCTGTTTATATATATAATTTTTTTTTATTTTTTTTTGTTTTTTTTTTTTTTTTTTTTTTTTTTTTTTATGAATGATTGAATGAATGAGTGTGTTGTGAATCATATTTGCTAACCAATTTTTTTTTATTGTTTTAAATTAATA